TGCGAAGTGTGCGTCCAGGCAGCTGAGGTGGTGAGTCTTCGCCCAAGTGGAAAGACACTTTGGAAATTGAGTGGAGCCGGCAGTTCAACTTCAACAAACTCATCTTGCACACACCATCTCTCACGGATGCTGTGATTTGATCGCTCATTTGTATATTTGTGGTTTCATTGCAACATTTGCATTCACGTTGTTTCGTTTCCTAACCACAGGCGCGTCTCGCTTAACGAGCGTTCTCCTTCACGAGAGTCTGCTATAACGCTCAATTTGTTCGCAACACGAGAACATGTTCCCGAAACAAGCGGAGGCCGATCAATCAAACGCGTCCCGTGTTGGCAAGGGCCGCTACGCTACAACAATGGGATCGTATTACCACGTGCCCTGCGCCCAGTCGTCAGATTCTCACTCTCCTGTGCTGCGCATGCCGCCTGAGCACGTGACGCCTGAGCGCGTGACCCAGGTGGGGGCCACGTGGTGTTGGTGGCGGCACTGTCATGGCGGCGCGTGGGGAGCTACTCGCGGCTCCCGCTCACGGCCAACACGGGTGACGATTGTACGAGGTGGTCCTGGGACACTCCGAGGTCGACTCGGCATCAAATGAGTACGGTGTGTAAACATCGCCACCGGGGAGACAAAGGCGGCCGGGCGTGGTGTGAGCCACCCCACCCACACCCGAGGATCGGCGGGCGGGGCCGCCATCGCAAATTGCCAGCGCTCGCAAACAGCGGTCGGTAAGTAAGCTCTTGACTATGCATATATTATTGTTGTGTTACATATAGATTTTATATATCAGGTATGTAGTCTTCTCTTTGTGCCCGACGCTTAAGGGCTGCAGTTTTTGGTAGCGGCAAGTTTGAGTAAAACTCACGTGTACAGTATTTTGGCGGGACAAATGCTACTGTACTAACATTCGTGGAAAAATCCCAGAATCGTTTTGCGCGTTACCCCCTCCCCCCACCTAGAGGTTCACTCAATGTTTATTTTACTTTCTATCGAAAACAAGTGTTAAGATAAGCGTTTAAAAGTCAAACTTAACCAAGTCGTCAATTTAAGTGTCTTTTGTATATTTATGTTCGTAGGTTTGAATATATTCTGTCTAGATTCGTTTAAAAAGAATGCAACCTTCTCTGGCTACTATTAGCCCTCTTGTAGAATTGTGTTTCAACCGATTACCCTCGCTTGCCTGACCCATCACGGCTCTGAGAAATAAATGTATGACTAATGGACATCAATGTTAACCAGTTGTCCATTTTGTGAGGTATCCCTAACTAGCCAGTAACTTGTAAGCGAATAAAAAAATCAACGGCGTAATTTGTTCGCGCTCGCTGGTTACTTTTGGAAACAACATTGTTGATAATTAATTTAGAAAGGTCTTTTATACCGATCTAGGTCACGATATGGACTTCGATGTTAGCGTCGTAATTTTCTATTGGCAGATTCATACGTGATTATTCACCAGTGACTCATGTTTGCTATAATTTCACACATTTATAAATCACCTCAACGTACCCCCCCCGGTTGCGAACCACTGGCCTAGAGAAGCCATTAGTGACAGACATTACCATCACATCGACAGTGAGGATGGCTTTATGAGACCCAAGGCGACATGGAATGCACAAAAGACGTTTGAACTGCCAATGTGTTCTTTGCGCGGCATTGACCTGCAAGGCTGTGAGCCTGAAATCGGTGAAATAATGCAAAACGATCCCACCCAGTTGTGTCGCGTCATTGACAATGACCCTGAAGAAGAATGCAGTCTTGTATTTTGACGGTACACTATATGAAATGCACAATCGATGATTCATCTAGATGAAGGGTGAGCAGTCAGATTCATTCCCTCACCCATGTTAACAATTTTGGTCTACCGCACCGACTGTTTGCTCTCATGTACACAGCGCACAGCGAATGACTTGGTGTTTCTACTTTGGCAGTGGTACACAAGCACAACAACAAATACATGGACGCATTCGTCAATAACACTGGCTTCTTCCAGGATAAAATATGGACAGTAAACCCTATCAAACCACAAGGGTTATGTTCTTGAATACGCGCGCGAATATAGAAACCTTGTTGACCAGGAAAAATGGGGTTACGTTCCTGGCACGAGTGAACAAAGGGGGGGAATAGTAAATGTTTAACACCACTGACTACAATAAATAATAAAATATGAATGACAATTCGTTTTTATTACCTTTCATGATGATTTGATGACAATGGAGATGGTGAGGAATTCAGGTGGACGACTCATCGGGAGATGCAGGTGTTTGATAACAACAACGCACAGTTATCATTTTAGCACTCGAGAGCACGTCTGTGATAGGCCGACATTTTGGCGTGGACTGAGATCCATCAAGAATGAGGCGAATGCAATCAGGGAAAGTGTTGCGGCTATCGCCCCCCAGTGCTGTGTTCGCTTATCAATAACTTATCACATTTTTACTGTGAACAAGATTTCTACATATTCTTGGTTCTTTCGGTAAAGTCACGTTGAAGGGAAACAATAAAATATATATAAAACAATAAAATTATCGCGACGTTTCGACTGCAACACAAGGCTGTAACCCTCGTGAATAGAGAAGGTTTACTATATTGGCATAGTCACTCTGGTTTGTCAGTGCGTCGTCAACCGCGAGCCGGTGGGGAGTGTCAGGGAAAGCTGTCCCAGGTAGTCCAGGAAGCCGGTAACATGACTTCTATGATTTCATGGGTGCCACACATTTCTATTTACAGCGATGTTCAATGTACTGCTGGATAACGGCTTTCCTATTAGAGCTCCTACTGGAGACCCCTTCCACCAACAGTGACGTGAGTAAGCAATTCCAGGGCTGCACCTTTACATTTTTAAAATTAATGTATTTATTTGGTAAGAGCGTGTGTGTGTGTGCGAGTGAGTATCAGAGCATGTGGATTCTGTATGTTCGCCCGCTATTCCGCAGTGTGAGTATGCAAAAGGTTGAGTGAGTGAGTATAAGAGAGCGTGTGGAGTTTGTATGTTCTCCCCCATTAACGTTGCATTTTACTATATCAACATTGATAAATGGTAACACATTACAATACAGTAGCCTCTTGATTATCCGTGCTAATGCCAAGGACAGCCGTGGCTAATTAAAATTGCGGACCATCCAAAAATATCCATTTTACGTGGATCTCTTTGCCAAAAACCACTAATATAGATATACATTATGTTTAAGTTAAGGAAATTGAGTTTGTTAATGAACAACATTTTTTTATATTTTAGCTCTTTCGGTAAAGTCACGTTGAAGGGAAACAATAAAATAATAAAAAATATATAAAACAATAAAAATTCTCACGAGTGAACATAGGGGGGAATAGTGAGAATTTTTATTGTTTTATATATATTTTATTATTTTATTGTTTACCTTCAACGTGACTTTACCGAAAGAGCTAAGAATATGAATTACTGCAGTCACGAAAGCTTTAAATAAAAAAAAATAACATTTTTTTTGTAAAGAATGTATTGATCTTGTTTTTTGTTACAAAAGTATTTGATTTAGAACGAATGCTAACGATCGACCGAACGATGCACATGCTCAGGGATAACTTTCCTGCTCCCGCGCAGAAGACTCGGCCCACTAAGTGGACAGAAGCAGAGCCACGCCAATCAACATCAAACGCCGCCCACTGTTGTAAAGATATGCAACTACTGTACCGTAGGGACGATCACATGGATTTCAGATTAACCGGAGCACGTGACTTGTAATAAACATTTCCATGAATAAGTGTATCACTGTAGATTATTAATTTGGGATTAAGGGAAACATCCATGAGTTATTAATTTGTGTCAATATCAGGTGCGTGGTTAATCCTCAAATCGGATAAATCGCAAGCAGATAATGGAGTCAACTGTATTATGAACGAAATCGACATTAACAACATTCCATTCTTCTATATCAACATTGACAACCTTTATAACATTCTTAACATTGTTTAGAACAATAAACTATGATAAAATGAACAACATTGCATTCTACTTGATTAACAACGATAATATTTCGAAGATGGTAACATTATTCATGACTATAATAAACTGTTATAACAATTTCTGTGCTCCCCTCTGTCACGCGCGCTCCTTTATGGCGTGCCTTCCTCTACTACTGCTGCCCCTAAACACTGAGGGGTTAGCATCTACATCAGTAGACCTCCTTTGCCAGTACCAAAATATAATAATAGGGTTTTTCCCCTTTTTTCTGGCAACGAAACTGAAACCGTTTTGCAAGGATTCATGTCTGCATTAACCACAATACTTGCAGTCAAAATGCAAACAGGAAAACATACTATGATAATATATGCATTGTCCTTGAAACTGATTGGTCCACACCAAGGGACGGCTTTCTTTCGAGCCTCGACCCAATTGGTGCTCGACCAGACATGAATCCTTGTAAAAAGGTTTCAGTTTCGTTGCCAGAAAAAAGGGGAAAAACCCTATTACACTGAGGGGTTGTTTTCATGGAGGTGGACACCACCTGCATCATGAACACGGCGAGTCCACCTCATCGGAAGCCAAGTTCGCATTTCTTCCTGAGAAGTGGAGCTGCTTTGGCTGCATCTGCTGCTGCTGCTATAGCAGACGGACAGAGAATACTACATCCGTGCAGGCCGCCCCGTCTGAAGCCACACTCGGGCACTGCAAGCCTTTCCTCGGTGTGTTTGGCGAGAGGGCGATGTTGAACATTTTTTTGCTAGGACCTTTCCCGGCACGCTGAGTAGGAAGATGCTCCGGTAGTACCCCCTTATAGAGGGGGACCACTAAGGTATCCTTCCAATCCTGCAGCACGCGTCCTCTGTGGTCCAGAAAGTTGTGATTATATCATATCGGGCAATCTGCAGACAAACGCTACCTGGGAAAAGTGCTGTTCGAGAGCACCTGTGAAGGTCGACACATCACACGAGAGGGTGGGTGGCCAACACCACACCTGGCTTTTTCTCCCCAGTGCTGATGTTTTACACACAGCACCAGGTACATGTCGTGCCCGGGTTACGAAAGGGTTAGGTTCCTGAGAACGATCCGTAATCCGAATTTTCCATATGTCAGTAACTGAACAATTTTTCCCTGAAATAAAGCTAAAATCCAATAGCCAGAAATAGTTGTGCCTCCCCTACCTGAATACTAGTTCGTTTTCCCTCAGGACTGTATTGCGCTGTTTTCTATTGCTACCTATATTCTATTGCTGTACATACTCTGCACTTCATATTCGTTTTTCATTTAATCGAATAACACTACCCATAATTAAACTAATGGAACATATTCTGGATCCAATTGTTTCTGAATACCACGAAACATTTTAATAAAAATCGTTAACAGAAAGCAGTCACTTCCGAATGTTTGTTTACCGTGCATTAGGCTAGGCCTAGACTTTACATACACACGCACACACATGCACGCACATTAAATACAGTAAAAACCTAACAATAGAAACATGGGGGAAAAGATAATTCGAAGCATAGAAAACAAACAATAATGTAATGGTATACAAAAATTACATTGCCCATAATCGTGGTGGGGCTTGGTGAAGGAGGCGTTTTTGTGGAGTGAGGCGTAAGGCGGTGTGCCTTATGCGTCCCTCCGCGGTATTCATCCGCAACCTCACCGCGCTGCACTATTTGCGCTTGCTTAACTTATGCAAACATTTCTGCATCTTAAATTTTTTTATGCATTTATCAGAGCATTTTCATAAAACAATAAAATTCTCACTAAAAGAACCAAGAATATGAATCCCTGCAGTCACGAAAGCTTTAAATCAAAATTCATTTTCATAAAGTCGGGTCTTCCGTAGCCCAGAACTGCCTGTACTCATTTAAGGCTGATTTAGGGGAGGCTCGGAACAGGTTTGTATATTTGTCACTGATAATGGTCGTGAGCAGGAATAGAACTCGGTTCGCTGGGTTCACACCACTACGCTACTGCTCCCCACTCGCAAACACACTAGACAGAATACACACACTCAGACACGCTCCCAAACACATATATACTCGCTCACACTCTACACTCTGCAAAAAAGGGAGACACCATACAGACTCAGCACGTGGTTTCAACTCGGCACTTGCCCCAACGTAGCATTGAGGCTATGGGGGAATCTTCGTATTTGTTGTTGTTTCAGGACCAGGACCCCCCGGTGGCGGAGAGTCGATCTGCACGATCGTCGCCGGCGCGTGGAGCTACCGGCTCACCGGCTACTCCCAGAATGCGTGCGGGAAGGGCAGGTGGTGCACAGCGACACGTGATACGTGTGCAGTGGATTCCTAAATATCAGCCTCTTGTCTCCACTTACACATGGCAGGTTTTCTCCCGGGGTCTACGGTTTCCTCCCACATGATGCTAATCTGTGACGAGTAATGGAATTTGTCGTCAAACATCCAAATGTGGCGGCACCCGCCTCACGGTGTCTTAGTTCAATCGCCGGCATTGCTGTTACGATGGGATGCAGCCGTGGAGACAGGCGTCCTCATCATATGTTGTTATCTCGCTACTCGTGAAGCCGTCCCACCCCGATTGTCCCCGCCCACCAACACCGCCTTCCCCACAGTTCCTGCACGAGCTCCCAACACGTGGAGCAAGACGTCGCTCATCGTGCTGAACCACGCCTCGCGGCACGACCCAGAAACACACCTGTGAACCAGACACGATTCTTAAGTGTCCCAGAGTTGATTTTATGTCACCAGGTTAGGACTCGAGAGAGGAGCTTGGAGGCATTTGCAGGGGTGAAATAGAGCAAGAACAACCGTATCCCGTGAGGAATCAAGAATATTCCATGAACTCCCTGTGGTGGGAGTCTGCTCGGGCAGATCCTGATCCTGTTCCTCCCTCCTGCGCTCCCCCTCTGCACGTCGATGCGCTGCCACGTCGTCCACCCAGCAGCGAATCAATCGGCGAGCATCTGATTCTCTCTGTGTCTGCCCCCCGCCCCCACAGCGCAGCTGGGGTCTGCACCCAGCTGTGGCGCGGCGAGTGTGGTGGGAACTCAACACCAGCGGCGCCACTCGCCTACCTGGAACTGCGCGCAGGTCCTGGCACTCCCCGGGGCAGCTGGCATGGCTACAATGCAACACGAACTCGCAGGGAAGAAACAGGTGAGTTTGTGGAGGGGAGTAGAGTAAGATGGAAGGGGAGTGTGTGGAGGAGAGTACATTGAGATGAGGGGAGAGACTGGTGAGTGTAGAGTGGGATGAGAGGGGAGAGGCAGTTGAGTGTGTGGAGGAGAGTAGAGTGAGATGAGAGGAGACAGGTGATTTTTCTAAGGGGAGTAGAGGGGAATGAGAGGGGTGAGACAGGTGAGTGTGTGGAGCCGTGTCGAGGGAGGTGAAAAGGGAGAGGCAGGGGAGTGTGTGGAGGGGCACTGAGATGAGAGGTAAGATACAATTGTGTGGATGGGAGTCTAGTGGGATTAGAGGGGGAGACAGGTGAGTGTGGAGGGGAGTAAAGTGAGATGAAAGGGGAGAGGCAGGTGAGTAGTGACTAGAGTGGGATTAGAGGGGAGCGACAGGTGAGTTTGTGGGGGCGAATCGAGTGGGATGAGAGGGGAGAGACAGGAGAGTGTGTGGAGAGGAGTCGAGTGGGACGAGAGTGGGTGACAGGTGAGTGTTTGGAGAGGAGTAGCGTAAGATAGAAGGGGAGAGGCAGGGACGTTTGTGGAGGTGGAGTACAGTGGATGAGAGGGGACAGAGGAAGCAGAGTGTGTGGAGGGGCGTAGAGGGGGATTTGAGAGGAGCGACAGCGAGTGTGTGGAGGGGAGTACATTGAAATAAGGGGAGAGACTGGTGAGTGTGGAGCGGAGTAGAGTGGGATGAGATGGGAGAGATAGGTGAGTGTGTGGAGGAGAGTACAGTGGCATGAGAGAGGAGTGACAGAGTGTGTAGAGGGGAGAACATTGATATAAGGGGAGAGACTGGTGAGTGTGGAGCAGAGTAGAGTGAGATGAGAAGGGAGAGACAGGTGAGTTTGTGGAGGGGAGTAGAGTTAGAAGAGAGGGGAGAGATTTGAAGCTTTCGTGACTGCAAGGATCCATACTCTTTGGTTCTATTCGGTAAAGTCACGTAGGTAAAAAATAAAACAACAAAAATCACGACGTTTTGGCCACAACACAAGCTGCCTTCATCAGGTGAAGGAACCAGACTGTCTCGAAGACTGCGCTGGAGTGAACACAGCCAAGCTCAGACTACGACCTTTAAGCTGTGTGAGAGGGATTAAGGTGCCTTGACAAAGGAATCAGCGTAAAAAATTAGCATTTGATTGGCAGACTTAGCATGATGAAAGGTGTAGCACAGTTATCGGCACCGGCAGTACAACTGCCTGTGCTGCGAAAGTTTGGGGTACCACTACTTGAAAAAATATACTGTACCAATGAAAATTAGTTTAATGTTTGGTTCGATTTAGAACATCTTTCCAATGGTTGCTTAATTTGAAACCATTTTCTCGGTTGAAATTGTGTCTGTGTTTGTAGATCTGAATTGCCTCGTGATAAAAACCAGTGGGTTTGCAAAGAACCTTGGTATCGGAGAAAATTATATCGTGATCACCCACAGCGTTGTAAAAGTGATCAGCCAAGGCAGAAGAATTCGTTCTGCCGTGTTTCAATTCAGGTTTTTATCAGAGAATTGTTCACGAGGCAATTCAGATCTACAAACACAGACACAATTTCAACCGAGAAGATGGTTTCAAATTAAGCAACCATTGGAAAGATGTTCTAAATCGAACCAAACAAACTAATTTTCATTGGTACAGTATATTTTTTCAAATAGTGGTACCTCAAACTTTCACAGCACAGGCAGTTGCACTGCCGGTGCCGATCACTGTGCTACACCTTTCATCATGCTAAGTCCGCCAATCAAATGCGAATTTTTACGCTAATTCCTTTGTCAAGGCACCTTAATCCCTCCCACACAGCTTAAAGGTGCACTGCCATGTGCTACACCTTTCATCATGCTAAGTCCGCCAATGAAATGCTAATTTTTTATGGTAATTCCTTTGTCAAGGCATCTTAATCCCTCTCACACAGCTTAAAGGTCGTAGTCTGAGCTTGGCTCTGTTTCACTCCAGCGCAGTTTTCGAGACAGTCTGGTCCTTTCACCTGATGAAGGCCGCTTGTGTTGTGGCCGAAACGTCGTGATTTTTGTTGTTTTATTTTTTACCTACGTGACTTTACCGAATAGAACCAAAGAGTAGAGGGGAGAGAGGCAGGATAGTGTGTGGAGAGCAGTAGAGAGAGATGTGCGGGGAGAGACGGGTGACTTTGTGTAGGGGAGTAGATTGGGATGAGAGGGGGAGACAGGTGAGTATGTGGATGGGAGTAGAGTGAGGTCAAAGGGGAGAGGCAGGGGAGTGTGTGAGGGCAGTACAGTGGGATGAGAAGTTAGTGACTGAGTGTGTGGAGGTGAGTACATTGAGATGAGGGGATAGACTGGTGAGTGTGGAGCAGATTTGAGTGAGAAGAGAGGGGAGAGAGGCAGGATAGTGTGTGGAGGGTTTGAGTGAGATGAGCGGGGAGAGACGGGTGAGTTTATTGAGGGGAGTAGAGTGTGATGAGAGGGTGAGACAGGTGAGTGTGTGGAGGGAAGTCGAGGGAGGTGAAAAGGGAAAGGCAGGGGAGTGTGTGGAGGGGTACAGTGAGATGAGAGGTAAGAGACAATTGTGTGCATGGGAGTCGAGTGGGATGAGAGGGGAGAGAGAGGTGAGTGTGTGGAGAGGAGTAGAGTAAGATGGAAGGGGAGAGGCAGGTGAGTGTGTAGAGGAGAGAACATTGAGATAAGTGGAGAGTCTGGTGAGTGTGGAGCAGAGTGGAGTGAGAAGAGAGGGTAGAGACAGGTGAGTTTGTGGAGGGGAGTAGATTGGGATGAGAGGTGGAGACAGGTGAGTATGTGGAGTGGAGTAGAGTGAGGTCAAAGGGGAGAGGCAGGGGAGTGTGGAGGGGACTGCAGTGGTATGAGAGGGGAGTGACAGTGTGGGGTTAGGAGTAGCATGAGATGAAGGAGAGAGACAGCTGAGTGTGGCCTAGAGTGAGATGAGAGGGGAGAGAGACAGCTGAGTGTGGCCTAGAGTGAGATGAGAGGGGAGAGAGACAGCTGAGTGTGGCCTAGAGATGAGAGGGGAGAGAGACAGCTGAGTGTGGCCTAGAGTAAGATGAGAGGGGAGAGAGACAGCTGAGTATGGCCTAGAGATGAGAGGGGAGAGAGACAGCTGAGTGTGGCCTAGAGTGAGATGAGAGTGGAGAGAGACAGCTGAGTGTGGCCTAGAGTGAGATGAGAGGGGAGAGAGACAGCTGAGTGTGGCCTCGAGTGAGATGAGGGGAGAGAGACAGCTGAGTGTGGCCTAGAGTGAGATGAGAGGGGAGAGAGACAGCTGAGTGTGGCCTAAAGTGAGATGAGGGGAGAGAGATGGATTAGTGTGTGGAGGGGAGTAGAGTGAGATGAAAGGCGAGAGACTAGTGAGTGTGGGGAGGGGAGCACAGTGGATGAGAGTACAGAGGAAGCGGAGTTTGTGGAGCGGCGTAGAGGGGGATTCAAGAGGAGCGACAGTGAGTGTGGAGGGGAGTACATGGAAATGAGGGGAGAGACTTGTGAGTATGGAGTGTAGTATAGTTAGACAATAAGGGAGAGACAGGTGAGGTTGTGGAGGGGAGTAGAGTTAGAAGAGAGGGGAGAGAGGCAGGATAGTGTGTGGAGGGTTTCGAGTGCGATAAGCGGGGAGAGATGGATGAGTGTATTGAGGTGAGCAGAGTGGGATGAGAGGGGTGAGACAGGTGAGTGTGTGGAGGGGACTACAGTGGTATGAGAGGGGAGTGACAGTGAGTGGGGAGAGGAGTAGAATGAGATGAAAGGAGAGAGACAGGTGATTGTGGCCTAGAGTGAGATGAGAGGGGAGAAACAGGTTAGTGTATGGTAGGGAGTAGAGTTAGATGAAAGGGGCGAGACATGTGAATGTGGGGAGAGGAGTAGAGTAAGTTGGAAGTGGAGAGGCAGGTGAGTGTGTGGAGGAGAGTACAGTGGGATGAGAGAGGAGTGACTGAGTGTGTGGAGGGGAGAACATTAGGATGAGGGGAGAGAATGGTGAGTGTGGAGGGGAGTAGAGTGAGATGAGAGGGGAGAGACTGGTGAGTGTGTGAAGGTGAGTAGAGTGAGATGAGAGGGTCAGTTGAGTTTGTTGAGGGAGTAGAGTGGAATGAGAGGGGTTAGGTGAGTGTGGAGCGGAGTCGAGTGGTATGAGAGGAGGAGACAGGTGAGTGTCGAGGGTAGTAGCACTAGATGAAAGGGGAGAGGCAGGGGAGTAGAGTGGGATGAGAGTGGAGTGACAGTGAATGTATGGAGAGGAGTAGTGAGATGAGATGGGAGATATAGATGAGTGTGGACTAGAGTGAGATGAGACGGGAGAGACAAGTGAGTTCGTGGAGGGGAGTAGAGTGGGATGAGAGGGGGAGACAGGTTAGTGTATGGTAGGGAGTAGAGTTAGATGAAAGGGGCGAGACAGGTGAGTGTGTGGAGTGGAGTCGAGTGAGGTGAAAGGGTAGAGGCAGGGGAGTGTGGAGGGGACTGCAGTGGTATGAGAGGGGAGTGACAGTGAGTGTGGGGAGAGGAGTAGAATGAGATGAGAGTAGAGAGAGACAGCTGAGTGTGGCCTAGAGTGAGATGAGAGGGGAGAGAGACAGCTGAGTGCGGCCTCGAGTGAGATGAGAGGAGAGAGAGACAGCTGAGTGTGGCCTAGAATGAGATGAGGGGAGGGAAATGGATTCGTGTGTGAGGGGAGTAGAGTGAGATGAAAGGGGAGAGACTAGTGAGTGTGGGGAGGGGAGCACAGTGGATGAGAGAGTACAAAGGAAGCGGAGTTTGTGGAGCGGTGTAGAGGGGGATTCAGGAGGAGCGACAGTGAGTGGTTGGAGGGGAGTTCATGGAAATGAGGGGAGAGACTGGTGAGTGTGGAGTGTAGTATAGTTATACGATAAGGGAGACAGGTGCGTTTGTGGAGGGGAGTAGAGTTCAAAGAGAGGCAGGGGAGTGTGTGGAGAGTAGTACAGTTGGATAAGAGGGGAGTGACGGTGAGTGTGGGGAGGGGAGTACAGTGGGATGACGGGAAAAACAGG